TTTCTTTAACTATATTTATTTTTATTTTTATTCTTATTTTTTATTTTCAATTAATTCAGAGTACCTCGTGAACTCAGGTTCTTTACAAGATTTATTTTCAACGAGAAGAAATCTATATATATGTTTTAGTTATGATAGATAATGGAAAACTTCTTTTTTGTTTTCCGTATCTTTGTTCATTTTAAAAACTATCTGTTGTATTTCTTTTTCAACTTTATTCATGACTTTTTCAGCAAAAGAAAGATTTACAAATCCAACACAATCATCATTCGTTCTTTATTTCCTTTGATACCATAAAAATCCTTTGAATCAAATGTTTTGATATTTTCTATCGATGTATTTATAATTTTCATTCTATATAATCATTAAAGATTTTATTTCGTTAAATGAAAGAATCGAACGACAAATTAAAGAGAGAAAGAATCGAACAACAAGTAAAAGAAAAATTCAAAGTTTAATAATGTCCATATGCGTAACTGGTTATTCCATCTTCTAGAATACATCTTTTATCATCAAAGCAGCTCAATGACACTTTGTTCAGCTCATAACTTCCAAGTTGATGTTTGTCACTTCGTATGGTTTTCATCTTGTGATACATTTGTTTTTGGTGGAATAAAACATCTTTGTATATGATGAATATATGAGGTCCATATATTTTGAACTGCGGTTATAGATACCTATGATGCACGATCCTCGCAGTAGAGAGCGCTATTTATGCAATAGCGAAAATCAGACCTGAAAAAAATCAGGCCTGTACGAGATTCGAACCACTGACCTCTGCGATACTAGTGCAGCGCTCTACCAATTGAGCTAACAAGCCAACTGGGAGCAGGCCGTTAAGTTGATTCGTAGTAAACCCGTGATGATAAATCAGATACAATGAATATATGAAGTTCATATATTCATTGTATCAAACATTTCTTAGTCAATGCTTGCGGATTAAGTTGACTTCATTAATACTACCACAGGCTGCGACGCTTATTTACTACGACATTTAACTGGCGACATTCAATTTTTTAAGTTGCTTCGTAATAAACCCGTNGCCTGATTTTTTTCAGGCCTGATTTTCGCTATCGCATAAATAGCGCTATCTACTGCGAGGATCGTGCATCATACGTATTGTGTACTTGTGTTGTCTTTCTTTTGTGTGTAGATTGTCTGTTTCTGTTACATGACGTACTAAAACTAACGGAGAGTTCTACTCATACAGTCCCTCTTCTGCAGCCGCAGAAAGGGTGTTTTCAATCCTGAAAGCCTTATTCAACGAGCAGTAAGATTGTGCTCTCGTCGATTAGATTCAAGCCAATGTGATGGCACAATACAACAAGCGATAAGCGCTCGCAACTGCTTACAGTATACTGAAACATAAACGTTTTATATGAGTTAGGAGTCGAACAGAATTGTGCTAGTCTAGGTTGTGTGTACCCAGCGCATGGTAGTGCTTCAAATATCACTGTTTAGTGGCTCTTGGCAGGAAAAGTTTTAATTCTGACCCCGTTTTATAAAAAAATAATTATTAAGTATCAGCTGTTGTTGATATGAGCATATAATGTAAGAGTTTGTACGTTTTGTTTGAAATAAAACAAAGCATTTTTTGGAATTCAAGTGGCATTTTTTAAAGAAATCAGGCATTATTTTAGCATTTTTTGGCTTTATGCGAGAATTTCTTGTAGCATTAAATGCTAGTTTTACTAGCATAATCGAGAAAGGTCTAGCCTTGACTCAATGCATTCCTGTTTATACTCAACAATGTCATATTCTCTATGTTAATCAACCAGTCAGGGATATCTTTGTTATTAATATATACTTTGAGGGAAACAAGCCTCACGCGCACACACACACGCACACACGCACACGCACATACACACACGCACACACGCACACACACTCACACGCACACACACACACACACACACACAAACACGTACACACAGGCACACACACACACACACCCAAAGACAGGCTATAAAAACTCTACGTTGTAGAGAAAGAGGTAACCAAAATTAAGCAAAAGGAGGACTTCAATCGTTGACGGGAAAAAAATTAATCTAAAACATATTTCCTACTGCCTTGACTTGCGTGATGTTACTTTCATCTGATATTAGGCTTTCACCAACTTCATTCGTCGCAGTTACTGCAAGTTGATACACTTTTCCTCTTTCCAGCTTTACTTTGAATTCTCTGACTTTGACATCTGATATTTCCCTTATTATTGACCACTCTCCTGGTCTTTGTTCTCTGGTAAACAGAGTATTACGTTATTTTTTTTCCATTATCTTTCGGCTCATTCCACCCCCGAGTAATTGCATCTTCTGTTGTTTCACTAGGCAGGCCATATATTAATTAATTTAATCTAACTTAATCTAAATTTAATTTAATTTAATTGAAATTTAATTTAATTTGATTTAATTTATTCCATTTTCACTGCATTAATTTGCAGTGGGGAAGGACTGGAAGGGAACATACGAAACATTCGAGCTAGTCCACCTTCTCACCCATTCCACCCCAGGAGAGGACATCCATCACACAGTAATCTCATGTGTAGGAAATTAACGTCTCTTACCCCAACCCTGCAAGAGACAGGACCTCCATTTATTCGTCTCTATCCGAGAAGACTAGAATATCTAACCACTTCTTGATGTTATAGAAACGTCGCAAGTTCTTCTCAATGATTTTGAGACCTAGAGTGTTTGCACGGCCGGGACTCGAATCCTCGACCTCCCGCACAACAGTCCAGCGCACTCTCCATTGGGCTAACTGGGCGGCGGTAATATATTTCAATTGCTGCCGGAATCCCTTTAAAATAGAACGAACATTTAAACGTTGGTTTTTTTTTTTATAATCAACTACTCCTTGCAAACCCTGCAAAAGCCACTGACATGTCTAATGGATAGATTTAGAACTATTACGTCAGTGACCCGGTGTTCATTAAATTATGGCAACGTTTTCTATGTCAGTGTTTCAACAAGTTTTGAGCCTAATAATCTCACTTACCGCTAAACCTAAATAACAACAAAAGGATATTGACAAGGATAAATAACAACTATTCCCCGAAGTGGAGGTGGTTAGTGGTGGATATTTACCGATCCGCGAAGCGGCGAGGTAAATATCCACCGCCAACCACCGACACTGAGGTGAATAATTGTTTTAGTTTATACTAAAACAGTGAGATAATATACACCACCAAAATTGATTTCAATTCATACATTCCAGCAACGATTCCAACATTTTCCCGCACGTAACGATCCAACGCGGCTCGGATCGCGTGAGTGATTTTTTGTTGTAAAAACTGCCGTCACGTTTTTTCGCTGACAGATAAAATTTCCGAAGA